GTACTCGACAGTGCAGCCTAGGTGGAGTAGTCGAACACAGATCCACTGATCCTTCAACACTGAGCATCTTCAGAAGACAAGTTGATAAAAATAAATGTTAAAAATATGTATTGTTCCATACATAGTGTGTATTGAACGGTTCGATACAGGTACATACTATGGGCACTTTATACTGATTTAGTTGTTAAAATGTTGATATTTAATTAAATTAATTTCTAACAGTAATTAATGTTGAATGTTAAACAGCAGAGTGAATGTATTAGACATGTAATAAATTAATATTACATATTACATTATTAAATAAGTCTAAATAAGAAAGTTACTCAGACCTTGCTTGTGGTTCTGCAGTTTTTGCACAGACTGGGTTTGTTCGGACCTGACAGATTCTCCTGGTTCTTTTAGGCCCGGCTCACTCTCAGCTCCACCTGAGGAGGAGTTCAAAGACGAGGAGGAGCTGAAACTAAGCATTTGAGATGCAAACTAAAACATGGAAATGAGAGAAACATTTACATTATTTTAAATTAATTATTTAGAGAGCATTTAGTTTTATTGTGTAGGGTCTGTTTCACTTCCTGTARGTGTTTTATGACGAGCTGCTCAGGTTAATCATTAACCTCACGCTGTCAGGAGCACATCCTGGGTTTTACAGGACATTTCATCTGTGTGGTTCTTCTTGTGGTGGTTTCACTGTTTCCTGAGGGTCCAGAGGAACCAGACGGAAGCAGACAGGTAAATCCAGGTTACCTGTSTGTGAACTCACCTGACCGCTGACAGGCTGTAAAATTCCTGCTTTTAAAAACYCTCAGGAAGCTCTGGGCAGGGCTGTAACCTCTGACCTTTACMTCATCACTGTGTCATGTTAATGTTTAATGTGCATTAAATATATTTTACTGGTCTGACATCATTAAACCCAGAGGGCTCTCAGCTCCTTCCCTGGATAATCTCAGATTAAATCGATATGAGATTAAAATATAAAGTTGGTCTCAGCATCAGTGACAGGACAGTAGCTCTTCGGCTACATTAGCAGGCTAATTGTGTTGCTTTCTTTGATGGGTTTGTGTTACTTAATGAAGAGAAGATGAGTTTTTAATGTCAGCCTGTGGAAGCAGACTAACAGTCAGAGTGGGTCAGTCTGTCTTTGTTTTGTCTTCTGTCAGCACCGCAGCTAGCTAACTAGCATAATTAGCTCAAGTCACAGCCTGCTTTGGTTCCTTTTAACCCCCAGTTTTTATGAAGGAAACCCTGAAACAAACCCCCAAAATAAACGATTAATTCAGACTGAACCCCGGCTGCTCTCACATGGTTCCAGAGTCGTCTCGAAGCACAAAGAAGAAGAAATACTCACAGCTCTCTGACACAGCTGACGGAGAACCGCTGGTCCTGGTTAATGGGTGCAGCTCGGCTCGTAGGGAACACAAGCCGCAGCCGCTGAGGGCTGGCAGCTCCCGGTC